AAATTTCATTTGGGGGCAGATTTTTTTATTTGAGTGGCAATGCCTTTATTTTGTCTCTACTCCCCAGCCTGTCGTAGCTATACCCTTGACTCCACCATTCCTTATGTCTGGACAGTTTCATTTTTCCACTGCAGTCCTGGTTCCAACCTGTCATACCATTTCCTGGGTGAGGATCAGCATGGATGAAGCCCGTGAGGAAGATCTGCTCGGCAAATGTTCGAATCAATTTGTTTGCTGCCTGGTAGGAAAGAATGAAAGAACAGAATAAAAAGGACTAGGTTACTGGTCCACCAGGTTTCATGGTTTGTTTCTGGGCACGATAAAAAGTGTTGATTAGGACCTATAAAGCTCTATCTAGTGCCACTTTCTTTTCACACAGAGGGCAATCTGTTTTCTGCAGCTAGTTCACCAGCAGGACATAGAAGTAGCGGCATTATCCATCTTATTGTCCCCAGCAACTGATATATAGCAGCAAACTGTACTCTGATACTAGAGATGACTTATAACCATGCCGTGTCCAGCGAAGGGTTTATCAAAGATTATCAAAGGTCTGGAAACCAAGCTTTATGAGGAATTACTGAGGGAGCTGGATGTGTTTAGCATGGAGAAGTGAAGTTTGGGAGGTGACAAGATGGCTATCTTTACACATCTGAAGGGATGTCATGCAGAAGATGAAGCCAGCTTGTTTTCTGCATCTTCAGAGACTAGTTAAACTAATTTATGGATTCAAATTACAAGAAAAGAGATTCATCCTAAACATTAGGAAGAGTAATTTTACTGTAAGAACAGTTCAACAGTGAAATGAGTTGCCTTGAAGGTTTTTAAACAGAAGCTGGGTGGTCATTTATCACACGGAGGGCTTGGATTGTGCCTTCCTGCATGGCAGAATGGGGTTGGAGTGGATGCCCCTTGGGGTCTCTTCCAACTCTAGGAGTCTATGTTTATAAATGATTTTACAGAAACTTAATGCGATTATAATATGGTAACTTGTTTAATTGTGTTTTAGCTATTTTATTATCCACTTTTTAACTTACTGTATATACTCATGTATAAGTCTAGAAATTTTGGTCAAAAAATTGACCCCCAAACACTGAGCTGACTTATCCATGGGTCAATGTAAGTACTGTACTTTAACTCTTATTTTAAAAAGGAACCATCACCTGGAGAAAGACAAGAGCATAATCTCTCCTGGAATCAGTGACCCCCCTCTATTCTCTCACCCATCCAGCCTTTACTATGAGCACAAATAAGCCTGCTGGAATTTTGCAATTTTTTGGCATTGTTCTGCTTTGCTTCATCCTTTAGATCCTCTGCTGCATGCTCCTAAGTTTTACCCTCGACCTATCCACGGGTCATGTCAAAATTCTTAATTTTGGCCCCCAAACCTGCCCTCGACTTACACATGAAGTCGACTTATACTCAAGTATATACAGTATCTTGTTTTAGCATTAAATCCCATGCCAGAGGAATTGCTGCATATAATAAATACATAAGCTGTGTAATGAAATAACTCCTGTTATCTCTCCTGAATTTCCAAGCACCCAGGGCTAGGCATACATTTGGTCTGATCACACAGAGCAATTCTGAATGTTCAACTGCCCACAAAAGCAGACAAGTTTTTCTTCCTTCAAAATGTCTGAATGTTTCCTCCTGTCTCTGCCTTTGCATTCTCCCCGAGTCTTAGACCCTCTTCTCCCTTCACTCACATCTTTGGGCTGCAGGCCTTGCCTCTGGATTCCTTCCACATCGTTGATTTTGCAGCCTGCGTAGAAATCGGCTGTCAGGACCCGCTTGTGAGGAAAAAGAAATAAAGAGAGAGAAGGTTAAGGAAATAGGAACCCTGGACATGTGGAAAGGAAGAAGAGACACGGGAGGGGAAAAGGCTTTCAGCCTCAGAGAAAAGAAATGGCACACTTCTGAATAAATCTTATCAAGAAAACCCTAGCAGGTCACTGTACATTAGAGTTAACTTAAAGACACATAACAACAACAAAAAGATTAACAGCCCAGCGCATCCATTTTAAAAGATTTGATTTTAACAGACAGGCAGTTGGTTGAGAAACCACAAGACTTGGGTCACAGAATCCCAGAGTTGGAAGATACCCCCAAAGGTCATCCAGTCCAACCCCCTTCTGTGCAAGAAGACACAATCACAGCCCAATGGTAATCCAGCATTTTGACTGAAACAGGTCATTAATTGTTAGCTGCAGGAGGGTCTTTTAAACAGCATGTGTGTATGTTATACTTTTATGCTCACTTTTGGGTCTTAAATGCTTTTAAACACTTTCAAATGAATACAGTTTCAACAGAATAATTTAGTTCGAAACCTAATTTAGTTAGGTTTTTAAAAAAAAAACTGATTGGTTGCATTGTGTTTTAATCTATGTTGCGAGCCACCTTGGATGCCACACTGGGATTAAAGCAAGAAAAAAGTTGTTGTTGCATGCCTTCAAGTTGACTTTGACTTATGGCAATTTATGGCAATCCTCTTCTAGGGTTTTCTTGGCAAGGTTTATTACTGTTGCCTTCCTCTGAGGCTAAGAAGCTTGTCACCCAGTGGATTTCCATGGTTCAGCCAAGATTTGAACCCTGATCTCCCACAGTCCTAATGCCAGCATTCAAACTAGTACATCATTCTGTATCTCCTCTTCATGCAGACTGCATTATGGTGACCTTATCTTAAGGTTCTCTAGGCAAGATTTCTTCAGAGGAGGTTTGCTGTTGCTCTACTCTTCAGCTGAGAGAGTGTGACTTGCCCAAGGTCACCCAGTAGGTTTCCATGGCTGAGTGAGGATTCAAACCCTGGTCTCCCAGAACCCTAGTCCAACACTTAGACCACTATACTATGCTGGCTCTCATTGGGAAGATTTATTCTAAAGAGGTTTGCCATTGCTTTCTTTTGAGGCTGAGAGAAAGTGATTTGCCCTAGGCCACCCAAGGGGAGTATCCCTGGCTGAATAGGGATTTGAAACCCTGGTCTTTTGGAGTCCTAGTCCAACACTCAAAGCACTATACCACACTGGTTCTTGGGATAAAAATAAAATTAAAAACGGAAAGGTCTTTGCTGCCTTAGAGACACATGCCTTACTGCTCTTCTCCCAGTAGACGCGGGGGACCACCACGAAGCGGAAGTGCTCCAGTTCGCGGGCGCAGCGCTCTGAGTTGCGTCCCTCAATCTCAAAGTCCAGCTCCTGAGCCAGCGTCCCCTTCAGGTCCTGCAAAGGTGGGAGAGTTAGAATAGGAAAGAAAGGAGCAAAGAGGAGAAGGAGTGAAAGCCAGCAATTCTTTACAAGGTCAGCCTTAGTGTAATGTCGCAAAGACTCACAAAGCCATGATGGTGCTTTACATACACCAGTGAAACAAAACACAACCAGGCAGGATTGTCACAGAGATCCTTGCAATGCCATTTATTTTAGTTCATTTATGTACCAGTATCCTGTATTGGCAGAAGTAGCTGTGATGACAGAGCATCATTATCATCATCACAACTAGGGGCCTGTCCACATTTCTCAGAATCCTCCAAGCTGCTCCTGGAATATTCTGGCTCCAAATTCCACCCAAATCCCACCCTTACCTGCTGCAGCAAAATGTGGCAGCAAAAGGATGCTGCCTTCTCATACAGTCCCTGCAAGCCAGCGCAAGTTGTTGTGAAGTCAGAATGAGGCATGCAACTCGAACTCGCAGAGCAACCATCCCATCATTGCTGTGTTTTGCTCTGGGTTTTTTGGAAGTCTTTTTAATGCGGGACAAGGAGTGGAAATCTCAGATTGGGTCCAGGCATTCTGTAACAAGCCAAGACCTGATTTGGGTTTCTGGGGCTGTGTAGTGTAAACAGCACACAGCCAGCCTGGGAGAGGAGAATTTGGGGTGTAAAGGTAATGTAAACAAGCCCAGTGTCTCATGATTTGAGCTCATCCACTCCAAAACCCACCTTAGAACTCAGGAACCCACACCAACCAAAGGTGGACAGGGCACTGAACAACAACAAAACATTGCATATGGTCTTGGCCAGTGAAATCCTAACCTGCCCAGAATCTAGTTCTGTATCCTGCACCTTCCCAGATCAACTGCTTTGGGTACTCAAGACCAGTGATCACAAAGAGGCACACGTGGAATATTTTTGCACTGTCTAGACTGAGGCGTAACCATTCACAAATTTATTGCCTTTTAAGACTTTACGAAACCCTCTTCTGTAGCCCCAAAGCAGTCCCTGGAATCCTTCCAATTCCTCTCCAAAGATTTTCAAGCAAATATCCAACCAAAAGCCATGCCAAATCACCCACCAGCAGATTTGCTACTCCCCACCTTCCACATCCAAGCCTTGACATGAGCTCAACATCAACTGTAAATTCAAAGATATAGCCGTATTAGTCTGTAGAATAGTCCCAGGCTTACCATCCCATCAAATGCATCTGAGGAAGTAGACTTAAGTCTGCAAAAGCTCATGCTGCCAATGTCTTTCTTTAGTTAGTCTCAAAGGTGTGACAAGATCTCTCTACAATCAGCTGTAAATGGCAGCTGATGTGCCCAGATGTGCCAATGCAGCCCACCAGAGGCAGGCTTGACCCAGCAAACATTGGCCACTGTGCAGTCCCTCATCCTCGCTCTAGCTCTCAAGACAGTGCACACTTTGAGGTTCCATTTCCATATCCCTGAATGCCAGGCCATCATACCCTGTCCAACTGACATGCAGACCTGGCAACCTGAGCTGCCAACTCACCTGGGTCTTCCCCATGGCATCTGATTGCATAACTGCCACCTGGGCTGGCTCTCCAGTTGAACCTCACCTTCCCTTGCAACCAGGGGAGACGCTTGCCTCAGAAATGAAGCTGTTGCTGTTGTTGCTGTTGTGTGCCTTCAAGTCATTTCCAACTTATGGCAACTCTAAGGCAAACTTATCATAGGGTTTTCTTGGCAAGATCTGTTCAGAGGAGGTTTGCCATTTACTTCCCCTGAGGCTGAGAGCATGTGACTTGCCCTAGGTCACTCAGTGGGTGTCATGGCCAAGCTGGGAATTGAACCCTGGTTTCCAGAGTTGTAGTCCAAAACTCAAACCACTACACCACTCTGGCTCTCCAAATGAAGCTGCAGACTTCCCCAAGCCCTTGGACATGGCCTGAAACACTTAGACGGTAGGAAAGTTACTTTTTTGGACTAGGGCTCTGGGAAACTTATAGTCAATTTCCCCCTTGGAAATAGATTCAGTACCCTGGACAGCACCTTTAAATTTCCATGTAAAACCTGGCATGGACTCTCCGCTCTACTGATATGGAAGCAAGCAAAAATTGAACCCAGGGCCTCTACAGCACGGCCTCTTTCCCCACACATTCATATCACTGGCTTCCTGATAAGATCAAGAAGGAGGAGTAGTGGGAAGGATGGTAAGAAGTTGCCCCCGCCCTAGAGACCCAGGATTGTTCTCACAACCACCACTAGCAGTACCTTCAAAACCCAGCTGAACCCAAAACTGGGGTGCATCAGCTCTACGATCTGCAGCAGGAACTCCAGGGTGCGGATGTCCCCATCAAAACGGTCCCGCAAGTCAATGTACTGGACCTGTAAAATGAGCACATGAATGAGAGGAGAATGGAGTGAGAATCTAAAACTGCCTTAGAAGGTGGAAGGATTAACTGGGGTGCATCTGCACTGTAGAAATAATGCAGTTTGACCCCAATTGAAGTGCTGTAGCTCCACCCTATGAGAACCTGGGATTTGTAGTATTACAAGGTCTTTAGCCTTCTTGGCCAAAGAGTGTTGGTGCTCACATAACTACAAATCCCAGGATTCTACAGGATGGAGCTGTGGCAGTTGAAGTGGCATCAAACTGCATTTTTTTTTCTACAATGAAGGCGTACCCTTGGAACAAGAGTTGTTGCTGTTGTGTGTCTTCAAGTCATTTCCAACTTTTGGCAACCCTACCATGTGGTTTTCTTGGCAAATCTTATTAAGAGGGGGGTTTGCTTCTGCCTTCCTCTGAGGCTGAGAAAGTGTGACTTGTCCAAGGCCACCCAGTGGGTGTCCATGGCAGAGCAGGGATTTGAATCATGGTCTCTAGAGTTGGAGTCCAACACTCAACAAGGTCCCAAAACCAGTGCACCCACCCAGGTATGTTGGACTACATTCCCCATGACATCCCTAGGTTGTCCAGTGGATTATGGGAGTTGCAATGAAGGCCCCAGGTTGGAGAGGACTGCAAAGGCATCATGTGATTGGTGCCACCCAAAGGGAGGAGGTAAGCCATAAAGAACCACACTGAACACACCTTCACAGCTACGGGAGTCCCATCATGGAGCCGGGCTCGGTGCACCTGGGCCAAACTGGCAGCAGCAATGGGCTGGTAGTCAAATTCCAGGAAGAGCTGGTCCGCCCTGGTATTAAAATCCTCCAGGAAGAGATCGTCCACCTAGGAGCAGAAAGAAGCCAAGGATGTTGGAAGGGTTTGGTCCAAGACCAGGACTTTCTACCAACAAGAGTTTGGAATCCCCAGGAAGTGGTGGTTGGGTATCGCAGGGAAGGGGTCCTCCCAAATAAAACTGCCCAAACGGTGGCTCTCCAGATGTTTTTGGACTCCAGCTCATATAATCCCTCACCACTGGCTTTGCTAGCTACAGCTGATGGAAGAGGTAGGTGAAACACATACCCTACAACTATATACGCAGCCCATGTGTCGTCTGCCTTCAAGTCTTCTCTGATGTATGGCAATCCTAAGGTGAGAACCTATAATGGCAATATTTGCTCAGAGGAAGTTTGCCTTTGCCTTCACCTGAGGCTGAGAGCATATGACTTGCCCAAGGTCACCTAGTGGGTTTCATGGCCAAGCCAGCAATTGAACCCTGTTCAGTCTTAATCCAACATGCAAACCGCTATGCCATGCTGGCTCTCATGTATACAGTCTACAACTCTTTCTCTCTATATATATATATTTATATGGGAGATTTCAGGCTTGATCTGATCAAGGACACATTTGTTTGCCTTCCCAGCCCTCAACAGTATCCTTAGCACTCTTCTCCAGCATTGCATCTCAAACGCATTTTTTCCCTTAATCTGCTTTTTCACTGTCCAGTTCTCACTTCCGTACTACAATGGCTTGGACAAATCTAACTTTGGTGCTCAGTTGCATATCTTTACTCCTTAGGATCTTGTTTAGTTTTTTCATATCTGCCCTTCCCATCCCTAGTCTTCTTCTAATATCTTGACTGCAGTCTTCATTCTGAATGATCTTTGATCTGAAGTGTGGGAACTCTTTTATTATTTCTGTTTCCTCAGTGTCTAGGTTCTTCCATAGTCATTTTTTTTTCTTTATATTCAGCATTAAGCCTACCTTGGCACTTTTTAAACCTTCCTTAATAATTATTCCAAGTCTGTGATGTTTTCTGCTTATAATATAGTGCCATCTGCTTATCTTAGATTGTTGATATTCCTTCCTCCTATCTTTATTCCTCCTGTCATGCAATACCAGCTTA